TGCACCTTTATGGAAAGGTCTGTAGCGGAGAATAATCTAAACTAAAAATAATATAAACATTATAATTTTTTTTTTCTGGATTCATTCATTCCGCTCCGCTTATAAACATTGCGGCGACACTATAGGTGAAGTGCATGAAGATAGCGGCCGACTGCGGCCGCAGCGTTTTGACAGCGCGGCTAACTTCGCGGATACTCTCAAATGCGCGTATTACGTACGCACTGTGTTTGCTTATGTTTAAAATATTATTTGTATAATCTCACCTCATATTGTATTGTCATTGTGTATGTGCTTGTGGGCCACTCAAATAAATCGTTTTAGTGTCTAGAAACTGCATTCGCTCCGTGTATGCGTTAATTCATTTTTTACTGTATACCCACCATCAGCAAATATTAGTGAGTCTCGGATAAATACAGAGTTGGTGAGGGCCCAGGAGTCATCAAAGGGCCCTACACCACATGTCTATGTTCAACAGTAGACTGCTAATGCCTGATATGATGACGATTTTTTGATGACGATTCGAGGTTTTGCACTTTCAATACTATATTGCAGTACAGCTACAGTTGCTAGCATCCAGTACCACGATTCATACGTTAATATGTTTTTACTTCTGATCCGACCCCTTACAAACCAACAATATATACACCGATAATGGATACGGTGAAACAGACAAAAAAAATAGCCTTCTAAGTAGGATTTTAGGACCCATAGTTAAAACTTTCAATTACCATTCAGAGGTACTGTTCAAGAAAAAAATATTATATAAATATTATTGTAAAAATGTTTACATAAACGGGGGGGGGGGGAGGGGGGGAGAAGAAACACAATTAGAAGACACCTTTAAAGTCATCCAGGAACATTTCACAATTTCATTTTTTATGCTACTTATAGCAAGAAGACAAAATATAAATAAAACAAGGAAAAGTGTTTTATTTGTTTTGTTACTTTATTTTTTATCTTTAACACATTATATTTGTATTTAATCAAAACAAAGTAATGATACGAAACCAAAACCAATACACAAATTGAATCAACAGTCTGTATTTTTTTAAAATGAAAAGCACTTCAAAGCAGAAACCAGAGAGGACATTTTTTGCCATAGACTATTTAATTAATCGGCACAGAATTTTAAAATTTGATGAGATAAGTACAAATATTTTGTAGATGACATTTATATTTGTTTTATTTATTTATTTTATTGCAGGACAACCAACAGCCACACAATTTCACTATAAAAATAACATAAGTTTTGCGCCTCCAATACTACATCTCCTCATTTGCTACCATCGTACCGGCCAGCTGCTAACTCCTAGTACCACGTTTTGGGTTTCTATGTCTATGTTGAATGACTCGAATTAATACCTCCCGCTCGCTTGCACTTTGACTCAGTTGAGTTTACGCGCATCGCCGCATGCGCCAGTAGCGCCACTGTCGCAGAAGAGATGACATCGGGAAAGCGGTTACGAGTGAAACAGTACGGAATAAAGTAAAAGTTTTAGCCAAGGAATTTATATACTCAAAAAGCATTGCATGTGAATTCAAGATGAAGGCGCAATTTTTAATTACACACCATTGACACGACTCTAATCCTCAAATCTTTCACGGTGCCAGTCGAACACCACGACGCAGCTATTTTCCAGTCTATTTTACATATACAGTTTACATATAAAAAAAAATGTTTGTCTTCTGAAACGACCCCTTATAAACAAACAACGTATACACCGATAGCAGATACGGTGAAACAGACAAACAAAAGAGCCTACATCCTCCTCCACAAGCATGAGTTCAAAAGGCCACCCAACCAAGTGTAGTCAAGTGGCATCACGAATATTGTTTCCCTTATTTTGTTTCTTTGTTTGAATAATCTAACATCCAGTACTACGATTCTGCTACTTACCAGTCTATCATATATATTTATTTCATATATTCTTCTTCTGATCCGACCCCTTACAAACCAACAATATTTACACCTATAGCAGCAAGACATAACAGACAACAAAAGTAACCTATGTCCTCCTCCATCCTATTAATTAAGTAGGTAAATACAAAATTTCATTGTAATTAATTAACCTGCTAAGGGTTATAAGGTAATAAACAACTCCCAGTACCAGGACTCTGCTATTTTCCAGTCTGTATCATACGTTAATATGTTTTTCTTCTGATCCGACCCCTTACAAACCAACAATGCATACACCGATAGCAGATACGGTGAAACAGACAAGAAAAGTGGCCTATATCCTCCTCCACAAGCATGAATTCAAAAGACCACCCGACCAAGTGTGGTAAGCAAGAAGGCAAAATATAATAATAAAACAAGGAAAAGTGTTTTATTGGTTTTTTTTTTTTAATCTTTAACATATTTTATTTGTGTTTAATCGAAATAAACTAAAGATACGAAACCAAAACCAATACATAAATTGAATTGACAACTTGTAGATTTTTTAAGATGACGAGCACTTCAATGCGGAAACCACAGAAGATTAATTCATTCATCCATTCACTCTATATTACATCATATTATCATACGCCAATATGTTTTTCTTCTGATCCGATCCCTTACAAACCAACAATGTATACACCAATAGCAGATACGGTGAAACAAACAAGAAAAAGGAGCCTATATTCTTCTCCATCCCATATATTACTCATTTTATAAACATCATTATAAAAACGTTTTAACTCAACGAAGAAAGAAGAAACAATTAGAAAACATCTTTAAAGTCATCCAGGAACATTTAACAATTTAATTTTTTACGCTACTTATAGCAAGAAGGCAAAATATAATAATAAAACAAGGAAAAGTGTTTTATTTGTTTTATTAATTTATTTAATCTTTAGCATTATTTAATCAAAACTAAAATCAAGATACGAAACTAAAGCTAGTACACATAAATTGAATTGACAGATTGTCAAGTTGTTTTTTTAAAAGACGGAAGAAAGCTTTTAAAAGTCAAACGAAAGATATTTTATTATCATAGCAAAGAACAACGCTGGAATAAACCGGTTCCCGATGCAAAAAGAACCAACCAATACCGCATGCGATAGTTTTCAATTGTTTAAATTTATTTCTAATTTTTTTTAACATGCCCATAGACACAGAGCTGTTTTTATTGTCCCATTTAAAAAATAATACAAAAATACATATATACATATATATTACACATATGAAGTATAAGAGACGATTTTATAACTAAAGCAGACTCTTCCAGACAACCTTTGTATTTTTTTTTTTCTTTTAACAGTTTCCTCTTGTCGGTGCAACTAATTCATGCATCTTCTTCCAGCCAGCTCTATCCCAGGCCATATCTTTCACCTCCCTATACGACATGACACCTTTGTATTATCTAAATCATATATATATATATATATATATATATATATATATATATATATATATATTATTTAACACTTTATTACAGGATTTGTTGAAGAATTATCAATAAGTATAGTGTAGTACAAAAGGTGGTCATTGCTGAGCAATCTTTTCCAGACAACCTTTGGATAAATATATATATATATATATATATATATATATATATATATATATATATAACTATATATATAAATTATATTTAGAATAAAAAAACGACGCCACGTTCACGGATGCACACAGGTATAGCAAAAGCCGAGTTTGCACCTACTTCCAGTCTTAAATATTCGTCATGCATTTTTTAACTATTTAACTGTACTAACCATTGTATAAATTGTAAATGTAACTGTATTTTTTTACATATATATAATACTATAAAAGCACAATTGATAAATCTTCCCAGAAATACCAACGCACAATAAGTAATACGGAAAAATCTAGTAGTAAAAACTGTATTTTGTAGACGTGGTAAATAGATAGATAGATAGTTACTTTTTGTACCATTTTATGACACAAAAAACAATTTAAAAAACGAATTAATTTTTTTTTATACAACTTAGAATGGCAAACAAGCTGACGGCCCACCTGATGGAAAGTGCAGCAAAAGCAGTACCATGGCCATAACAGAGTATACTGTTTCGCCCGTGATACCACCCATGCGTTGCCATTCCTGAGGACTCAGGTGTTATTCCTCTGTACCCAGTAAATCCACGCCATATCCCACCCTTCAAACCGAAACACAGCCATGCAAACACAACTGCTTCACTTTGATTACAATCTAAATGCACTTTTTAAAATGTGAAACAAAAAATAGAGGATTATAGTTCCGCATTGTGTACATGGCAGAGCGCAGCCACGTACTGGCGTACTGTGCGACGCGGTCGCCCGAGATGCTTCGAGACGCACTAGTGCACGTGACACGTACACGTGACCGGTCTGAAGTTATCTACATACAGTGTTGACGTTGCACAAATTGCTTTTTTGAGGGTGACGCAATAAACTGAGTTGTGACCATTTTGTGTTACTATGGCGGATGCACGAGAAATCGTTTTACCTCTTTTATAGATAGATAGATAGATACTCTTTATTGTTCCCTTCATAAGATTACAATAGTAAACATATATATACGTATAAATAAAATTGGAGCGTCTGTTTGTAATATTGAAATAACCGTTTTTTACTATATGCCTATGAATATATCTTTTTTATACCACTGAGGTGGCAAACAAGCATACGGCCCACCTGATGGTAAGTGGTTACCGTAGCGTATGAACCAGAGGCCAAGTCGGCAATCCGCGTGTAATACCAGATGTATTACACGCGCGTGTATTATATTGGTTTCCAGGGGGAACCGCGTGGAGGTCGACCCGACAGGGTATATTGCTAGCAATGGGGCTATTAGACCCCATTACTAACAATCCCTTTCACCCATGTGCCTATGCTGGGACTACACAGCAAAATGTACATACACCTGTATAAACCACAATTATTTTAGATGTTTCACTTCAGAATCTTCAAAGGTAGGGGGTGGTTTTAGGGAAAAGGGAGGAGAGAGGGGTGCGTCATACACTTCGACCATCACTAAATTGCTAAATTCGTATTGGTGCAGAGTGGGAAATAAATACACAAATTGGTTATGTACATGTATTGTATTTTGGTAAACGGCGACTTACTACGTGTCCTGGTAGTCCTCTGTCTTCATGTCGTTGAGTCCCAGCTCATCATTCTGGTCGTACGAGCGTTCGTAGCGGGTTATCTTCAGACCTGCACGGACAGACAGACATATTTATTTACACTTTATTGTACAACTTAACGAATAATGCTATATATATATATATATATATATATATATATATATATATATATATATATATATATATATATATATATATATATATATATATATATATATATATGTATATATATGACACTTCCCTATGGTTGACTGGGAGAGAATGCTTCTAGCATTAATTTCGTCATGTACACATATATGTATGTACTTAATAAAATATACAATTTGTGTATGTTTGTTTTATTTACATTATTTTACCTCCCCTGCACTAGATTACCAGCTAATTATTTTCTCTCCAACTGAATTGTCTACTGGATTGGCTGGAAGAGATCTCTTTCAGGATAGATCAGACCCTTGCTAACAAGTTGTTAAATATATATATATATATATATATATATATATATATATATATATATATATATATATATATATATATATATATATATATATATATATATATATAACAGTCCCATTTCTAGCAATATACCCTATCAGGTCGGGCTCCACGTGTTTCCCCCTAGGAACCATCGTGCTGAATTCCAGGTGTATTCATCACGATGAGCTAACTGACCTGCCTTTTCATCCTCACCTATCATCCCTCACTGGTGCCCCGCCAGCATATACCATTAGCGCAGGCGGGGTTGCCATTACATTATCATCCATTGAAATATATATATATTTCGAGCGAAGCATTACTATGGAGAGGTCCTGTAGTCCCGGCATAGAATAGGACACCACTTCCTTTCCCTTGTATGTCGTAAGAGGCGACTAAGGAAGGACGAGGGATGGGCAGCAGCGTCCCTCTTGAAACATCTCTAAAAGCCTAACTGCGGTTACCAACCCCCTTGCCAAGCATGGCAACTACAGGCAAAACTCTCCTTATGGGGAAGGCTTACGTCTAGCAGTGGAGAGTTAACGGCACGTCTAATAATTATAAAAGACTTGAATTATATGGAGACACTGGTCTCTATATAATCCAAGGACGATTAAGGTGGACGGCGACGGTACTGACCGTCATCAGGCACGGCCGGGTCGTCGCTCAAGCTCTGCACGTACGAGTTGCCGGCCGGATCGTCCAGCACTATGGTCACCGTGCGTCCACCTTCCAGCACCTCATTCAGCTTGGCTATAAATCTATAACAAAACAAACTGCTTGAACTGGGGGGAAGGGATTGTTAATGATGAGGTTAAACCGTCTTTCAAAAAAACGTTCACGTTCACTTTTTAATTTATCCGAGCAGTAAGTGCTTTATATTATTCTCAATTTCGTGTATAATATAGTATATGTCATATATGTGTAAGTATATTTGTTATTTATATATATATTTATTCGTTTATATATGTAATTTTAGTATGTATGTATATCAATAATTACTAGTACCGCATTCGTGTATTCTGACACTTCCCTATGGTTGACTGGGAGAGAATGCTTCAAGCATTAAGTCCGCCATGTACACATATATGTACTAATGAATAAATTAATAACAGACCCATTGCTATTACACCCTATCAGGATGACCTCCACGCGGTTCCCACTGGAAACCATAGTCACCTGCCTTCATCCTCACCTGTCACCCTTCACTAGTACCCCGGCAGCGTGTACCGATAGCGCAGATGGAGTTACCATTCCATCTTCACCCATTAAAAAAAAACTGGTTAAAGGGGGGTAAAGAGGTGTCTTCAGGGTCGACAACGCGCGCGTAATACTCCTGGCATTGCAGGCGTTCATAGGCTACGGTGACCACTTACCATCAGGTGAGCTCCATGCTTGTTTGCCACCTCAGTGGTATAAAAATGAAGTATTTTGACGAGTATGGGCGAGGACCTGGTGAAGCCGGCCGGGTCGACGGTGGCCGCGTCGCCGCCGAGGCCGGGGCAGGCGGCCAGCTGGTCGGCGGCGGCGCGCAGCAGCCCCTCGGCCGTCGTGAAGCGGCCGCCCAGCGCGCGCCCGCCCACCTCCAGCTCCAGCTCCGGGATCGACAGCGTGCACGTCTCCGACTGCAGGCACAGTACATTACTACAACTTACTACCTCCCAACTGGGGGGAAAGGGATTGTTAGCAGTGGAGTTTGATAGCTCCATTGTTAGCAGGCCGACCTCCACGTGGTTCTCCCTGAAAATTATCATGGTTAATTCCCGATGAATTCATCACGATAGACTAACTGGCCTGTTTTTATTCTCATCTATCACCCTTCACTGGTGCCCCGCCAACGCATACCGTTAGCGCAGGCGGGGTTACCATACCATTATCATCCACAAAAGAGTACCTCCTGATTTTTTACATACACCTTCAAGTCTGATGACAATATTTCGTATAATAGTTTATGTATTAATTGTCGTGTGATCCCACCATAGAATGGACCACTACTTCCTCTTCCATGGGTTTCGTAAGAGGCGACTAAAGTAACTTAGTGGTCGAAGGATGGACAGCAGCGTCCGTCTTAAAACAGCTCGAAGACCTAACTGCGATCGCCAATCCACATGCCAACCGCGACAACTACTGGAAAACCCCCCACAATAGAGAGAAGCCTATCTTCAGCAATATCCCTTGCCAGGTTGACCTCCACTTAGTCCCCTCTGGAAGCCAAGTGAATTCCAAGTGCATTTCATCACGATGGGTTAACTGGCACGCCTTGGGGGGAAAGGGATTGTTAATAATAGAATCTAACTGACCCATTGCAGGCAATACACCTTATCAGGTCGACCTCCAAATGATAAATCATGGTTAAAAGTGTATTCATCACGATGGGCTAAAAAAATCATCCTTCACTGGTGCCCCACCAGCGTATACCGTTAGCGCACGCAGGGTTACCATTCCATTGTCATCCATTAAAAAAAAAAACATAAAAAAAGAAATACAATCTAATTGAAAACTTACTTCTTTTTGAAGTCAATTGAAAATATACAACTTTTCTTTTTATACAACTTAGAATGGCAAACAAGCTGACAGTCCACCTGATGGAAAATGGTAACCGTCGCCTATAGACATGAGCAGTACCATGGACATAACAGAGTATACTGTTTCGCCCATGATACCCCCATGCGTTGCCATTCCTGAGGACTCGGGTGGTAAAAATTACTCACTTTAAGTATATCCCTGGAGAAGTCCTGTTTGCCCGCGACCCTCACTTCGAATCTGACACCCTTGTCCTCTACACCGCCTCCAGACTTCACCTGCAACACAAATAGAGGGGGGAAAGGATTATTGGTAGAGGGCTCCTTTCTTTTAAATGTTTCCTCTTGTCGGTGCAACTAATTCATGCATTCTCTTCCAGCCAGCTCTATTCTAGGACATATATATGTATGTATGTATAATATATAATAATATGGCAACGCATGGGGGATATCATGGGCGAAACAGTACACTCTGTCATGTCCACGGTACTGCTCATGTCTATAGGCGACGGTTACCACTTTCCATCAGGTGGGCCGTCAGCTTGTTTGCCATTCTAAGTTGTATAAAAAAAAGTAGGGATATATGTTTACATTATTACATGTATCACATGTCTATATTTTAAAATAATAGGATCTTCATCGTGCCCCCTATCAAACTGTTTATAATTACTCCTCTCCATCCAAAGGTTGGCTGCAAGAGATCGCTCTTAGCGATAAGGTCGCCCATTGTTTTCTCATTGTGATTATTTCTTGTAATTGTTTATATTTATAATAAGTTTACTATTGTAATCTTATGGAGGGAACAATAAAGAGTATCTATCTATCTGTGACCTCCCTATCCAATAAGATACCTGGTGTTTCATCATCATTCCAGCCATTATCCGTCCACTGCTGGACATAGGCCTCCCCATAGACCGCCATAAGGAACGGTCCTGAGCCACCTGCATCCACTGACTCCCTGCAATGCATTTGAGGTCGTCACTACATCTAGTGAGGGATCGTCCTGCACTGCGATTGCCCGTATGGGTTCACCACCCCTTTCTTCCCCATCGGTTGTCGGTTCTTAGAGCTATGTGACCAACTTATTATATATATACCATATGGAATGGAAAATGGCGTCGACTACGTTTATTCCGGACAATATCGGGTTAGAGGGGAGAAGGGATCGTTAGTAATGCGTGTATACCAATAGCGCAGACGGGGTTACCATACCATTATCACCCATTAAAAAAAAACAAAATACATAACCACACTCACTTCATTGGTCCGATGGCCGCAAGCGTCGCATGTCGTGGCCATAATGACTACTTCCTTGAAATACGGAATGTCTGAAACAAAAGCAACCATTACATACTTGACTATTCACAAAAATAATTTTTTTTATACAACTTAGAATGGCAAACAAGCTGACGGCCCACCTGATGGGAAGTGGTAACCGTCGCCTATAGACATGAGCAGTACCATGCACATAACAGAGTATACTGTTTCGCCCATGATACTACCATGCGTTGCCATTCCTGAGGACTCAGGTGTTATTCCTCTGTACCCAGTAAATTCACGTCATATCCCACCCCTCCAACCGAAACACGGCCTTGCAAATACAACTGCTTCACGGTTAAAACACGAATGGGACAGAGGTATCCAAGCAATCGACTTTTGTACAAAGTCTCCCTCTGGTGAATGGAGTTACCATTCCATTATCATTTGTTAACAAAAAATGGCAGTTTACCATAGGAGGATTTTGTCAGTGATTGCCACGCTTGGTAAGCTGATTGGTAACCGCAATACAGGCTTTAGAGATGTTTTAAGAGGGACGCTGCTGTCCACCCCTCGTCCTTCCTTAGTTGCCTCTTACGACATCCACGGGTAAGGGGAGGGGCGGCCTATACTATGCTGGGACCACACCGCTTAGTTTACAGTGTCAATTGAATTGAACTGTGTCAATACCAAACGTGCGCTATCGGTATACACTGACGGGGCACCAGTGAGAAACCAATGAGTGGGGCAGAAGTCATAGACAGGCGTGGAGGTCGACCCGGTAGGGTATATTGCTAGCAATGAGATTGCTAATCCTCATTACTAACAATCCCTTCCCCCCCCCCCCCCATCCGAGCTATGGAAGTGTTTGAGCCCATTGCAAGTAGCTGCCGTGGTCCAGCATGCGAGACACTCACTGGTGACCTTCATGTTGGTGTCTGCGGGCGCGTTGCAGGCGGGGCAGTTGGTGCGGAACCTCAGCACCTCGTCCGCCGCCAGCGCCTCGTACGAGCAGCGCTCCGGGTCCGCGGGCGACAGCAGCACGTCCGCCAGCGCCGGCTTGGCCGCATCATCAGACACCTGCACGGGCATCAGTTAGAGAATAGAGAAAATATACGATAACAATGGTAATTTACAAGGTACAGAGGAATAACACCTGAGTCCTCAGGAATGGCAACGCATGGGGGGTATCATGGGCGAAACAGTATACTCTGTTATGTCCACGGTACTGCTCATGTCTATAGGCGACGGTTACCACTTTCCATCAGGTGGGCGGTCAGCTTGTTTGCCATTCTAAGTGGCATAAAAAAAAGACTGAATCCAACCTCGTCTGGCGTGAAGATGCCGAGCGCATGATCCTCTTCCTTGGTCCGCTTGAAGTCTGTTCTTTCGCAGTTGGGGTCCTTGCGGGGCGCCACCGGATTCTCCACAAAGCAGTTACCTGTGGGATTACTCTGGGAATAAATTTCAATAAATCTATATTTTCTTTTTTTTTTACCACAAACAAACAAGGTGGCAAACAAGCATACGGCCCGTGGCTAATTCTAGTTGAATTCGTCAGGATGGGCTAACTGACCTGCTTTCATCCTCATCAGTCATCTATCACTGGTTCCCCGCCAGTGTAAACCGATAGCGCAGACGGGGTTTTTTTTATGGGTGGAAATGGCATGGTAACCCCGCCTGCGCTATCGGTATACGCTGGCGGGGCACCAGTGAGAGATGATAGGTGAGGATGAAAAGGCAGATCAGTTAGCCCACCGTGATGAATATACCTGGAATTCAGCAAGATGGTTTCCAGGGGGAATCGCGTGGAGGTTGACCTGATAGGGTATATTGATAGCAATGGGGACAAACCTCCCCATTATTAAAAATTGATATTGATGTTGGATTCCAGAGTACACCTAGAAGTTCGCTGGTCACAGTCCATATTAATATTACAAATGTGATAGTTAGTTTGTTTGTTACCTTATAACTTCTTAACAGCTTAACTGATCACTATGAAACTTTGTCTATATGTACTATATGAAATGGAAAAGACCTTAGCACTCAGGAATGGCAACACATAGGAGTAATCATGGGCGAAACAGTATACTCTGTTATGTCCATGGTACTGCACATGTCTATAGGCGACGGTTACCACTTTCCATCAGGTGGGCCGTCAGCTTGTCTGCCACGTGACTCGTGACACTCACCGCTGCAATCCTCGAGCTGCAGCGTCCAGGGCGCGTGCAGGGCACAGAGGCCGCGCAGCCTGTCCACGAAGCCGTCGATCTGCGCGGCGGCGGCCGGGTGCTGCGCCCTCCTCGCCTGCTGGTCCTGCGTGAGCCCCGCTATCGCCCTGCTCACTATGCCCTCCACTGTGGTCACCTCTACACCAAATATACGTTTTATTATTTATTTAAAGCTATCCAACAAAACATACTAGTATTTATTTATTCATTAGTACATATATGTGTACATGGCGGACTTAATGCTAGAAGCATTCTCTCCCAGTCAACCGTAGGGAAGTGTCAGAATACACGAATGCGGTACTAGCAATTATTGATATACATACATACTAAAATTACATATATAAACGAATAAATATATATGAATAACAAATATACTTACACATATATGACATATACTATATTATACACGAAATTGAGAATAATATAAAGCACTTACTGCTCGGATAAAGTAAAAAAGTGAGCGTGAACGTTTTTTTTGAAAGACGGTTTAGTCTGCAGTCTCTTAATGGTATCAGGAAGCGCGTTCCAGAGCCGTGAAGAATGTAGGAGAAAGGAATTATTACGTATGTTCATTTTAGACTTTTGGAGGCCTATCTTCAGCAGTGGATGGTCATTGGCCGGTATGATTTAAAACTAACGTACCTCCTTGGACTTTAAAAGGTCTTAGGTATACTAAAAAGTTTTTAAACGACAATGCTGAGGGATGGGATAAACTCATCTACATCCGTGGCAGACAACAGGCAAGACTCATTATGGGTGCCCTAACTGGACATATGCCAGTAAGGCATATACTATACTAGATGGGTCTGTCTTCGGACACACTGTGCAGACTGTGCGCGGAGAAATCGGAATCCATGGAACACTTGATGTGAAACTGCGTTTCGTTAGCAACTATGCGTATGAGTCTACTGGGAACGGCTTATCCGGAGCCAGAGGACTATAGACATCTTAAACTGCGGGATATCGTTAAGCTAACACATAGGTTCTACGAAATGATGGTATAAGGCAGGGGCACAAAAGACCCGTATTGGTCGACGTGCAACGGCTTAGCTGACCACATATGCGATAACGTACCTCCTTTCTGACTCTGCGCGGGTATCTCGAAGTCAAGCTCTGGTATCCGGACACTGGTGTAGTCGCTCTTCACAACCTGCCGATTCAGGTCGGCCTGATCCTCCACACGCAGCTTCCATCTGTTGGTACACGAGGAGATCATGATACCTAGCCTATATTTATATTTTAAACAGGGACATGTAATAACATAAATAAAATTAGCTTTTATTCCTGAATTATAGATTCTTTTTAAAATGTCGACATCAGCGACACTTTATTTTTCAGGTTGTCTTTGAACATTCTCCCTATCCTCTTCTTCCATATCTCTCCACTGGTAACGATTCCTTGCAGCTTGTCTCCAACCATTAGGCAAATCATCATCCCATCTTCATGTTGGTCTACCTCGGTTTCTTTTCCCATCACGCGGATACCACTCAATCAAATCTTGGGTCCATTAATTTTTTGATGACCTCATGATGTGCCCAGTCTATCGCCTTTAAAACTTCTTTGCTTTATGAGTCACATCTGTAATGACAGTTCGTCGAACATCAGTGAGTCGCTGTTTGTCCTTCAACTTAGAATGGCAAACAAGCTGACGGCCCACCTGATGGAAAGTGGTAACCGTCACCTATACACATGAGCAGTACCATGGACATAACAAAGTATACTGTTTCGTCCATGATACCCCCCATGCGTTGCCATTCCTGAGGACTCAGGTGTTATTCCTCTGTACCCAGTAAATTCACGCTATATCCCACCCTTCAAACCGAAACACAGACATGCAAACACAGCTGCTTCACGGTAGAAACACGAATGGGACAGAGGTACACAAGCAATCGACTTTTGTACAAAGTTTCCCTCTGGAACTCTCCACGTGAAAAGAAGGACTTGTCTGTTCTATGCTGTAAAATTTATATGGAACTCTGTAATGTAATGTAAATCAGTTTCCCATTTCTGTATTAGGACGTCAGTGTATGACTGTGGAACCCTGCTTCCATCCTCACCTATCATCGCTCACTGGTGCCCCGCCAGCGTGTAGCTCCAGCCAATAGCACAGGCGAGGCTGCCATTCCATTTTGATCCTTTAAAACTACTTCTCACCTCACCCCAGTCTCGGCGAACGCTCCGCCCGGCTGTATCTCGTTGTTCTCGTACCCACACTCCTCGCAGCTGAACGACATCAGCACCACATTCTTGTAGTGTGGTATCCGCGTGAGCAGAAGTCTGGTGATGCCCTGGAACAATATCAATTCTTTTATACTTTTCTATTTGAGAAATATCAAATAATTTATTTATATTTATTCTTTTTTTGTCAAGGAATCTCCTTGGCTTTTTTTTTTAATAAACGATAAATGTAATATAAATAGGACTCTATTTTCCGCGCTCAGCCTCTCATTTGGGCCGTTGTGCGTGAGTCGTGGCTAGTACAGCCAACCTAGCTCCGCCCAGAAGCGCAGAAGCTTCCTGGGATCTTCACAGGCCTCACGGAGCGACTATACCGTTCCGAGGATTTCTAAACGTTGATGGGCCACAGCTTCACATTCCAGGATTACGTGAGCAGCAGTTTCGTCGATGTCGAAACAGCCTCGACATAGAGGGCTGTTAATAAACGATAATGGAATGATAGCCCCGCCTGCACTATCGGTATACACCGTCGGAACACCAGTGACGGATGATAAGTAAAAATGAATGAGCAGGTCAGTTAGCCCATCGTGATAAATACACCTGGTATTCAGCACGATGGTTTCCAGGGGGACCACGTGGAGGTCGACCTGATAGAGTATGTCGCTAGCAATGAGACTGGTAGCCCGCATTACTAACAATCCCCCCTCTCGCAGTTGGCTTTTGGTCACAACAAAATATCAGTGTTTTGCTGTTTTGAGGGTAAGGCAATAAACTGAGTTGTGACCATTTTGTGTTACTATGGCACACGTAGGAAAGAAAAAATCATGTTACTCTTTTATGTCTTTTGCTTTTCTTGCATATGCATTCTTTTATTTTTTTTTACTGTATGTAATGCAAATAAATTATATATCTATCTATCAAATATTCATACCCAACCAGGTCGACCTCCTCGCAGTTCCCCCTGGAAACTATCATGGTTAATTCCTGATGAATTCATCGTGATGGGCTAACTGGCCTGTTTTCATTCTCATCTATCACCCTTCACTGGTGCTCCGCCAGCGTATACCGTTAGCGCAAGCGGGGTTATCATACCACTTTCACCCATCAAAAAAAAAATACTCTACCATGAAGTACATCAGAAATTCCTAAAATGGGTTCCTCGAAACCTTAAGGTTAAATAAAAAAGTCACCAGGGCACTGCAAAATTTTTTTTTTTGGTTATTAAATAAATTTTTTGGTTGAAAATTATCCCAATATTGGACATCACGCTACCCGCTGACATTGATGCTCCTTACCACTTTGAGTGTCGGTGGGAGAGAACTCTTTTAGAGTTAAGCTCGCCTTTGTACATTTACTTACCTCTGTAATATTTTTATATACTAGCAATATGTAGTATAAATAAATAAATAAAACTACCATATCAGCCTTTAACTGTCCACTGCTGAACATAAGCCTCCCCCTTGGGGGGTTTTGCCAGTAGTTGCTACACTTGGCAAGCGGGTTGCCAACCGCAGTTAGGCTTTGACTTTTTAAAAGGAACGCTGCTAAATTTTATTCGTGTTAAATGAATTACCGAGGGCTGCTTACCTTGAAGCTCCACCGCCATCTTTGTACAGTTGAGAAATCACTACTTTACTATTCAAACTGTGATATGTTATTTAATAAAATTAAATAAGTACACTCGAGTTTATAATAATCCCCAAGCACTCTTAGGGAGTATAAATCACACACAAAGGAACAAAGGCGTCTGGCGTCCCCTTTAGCAAGGGTCAGTGCCATCTTGTCGGCTGTTACCGTGAGGGGGAACGCAATACGCGACATGCGCAATTGACCAATGTCCTGGAGCATGATAGAGTGGAACAGCGAGGTGCGAGTTTACCACCGCCAACCGGATAAATTTGGTTTTTTTATCTGTGTATGGTGTTAAGAACATACAAATAATGCTTAATTTAATAAAAAAAAAATTTAAAAGGTACCTTTAAATTAGAAAAAAAAAATACATACAGCTGCAAACTCAAATCGGGATATAGTAAATTAAGCTAAGAGTAATAATGTATTATTAATTCAGTAGATTTAGTAATACATTTAGAGTTTGTAAACTATCATTATTAATTAGTTTTTTTTTTTTGTTTTTAATAATACGACACTCACATTAGCGTGGCAGTTGATGCATAAAGACTCAATTTCTGTAACCTCCGGTTCTGGGTCCTCGGCAGTGAGGTCTCTAAACACAGGTTTCTGGCCGTTTGTACACATTTTATGTTTCACACATAAAATAACCTAAAACTTGAAAACGTTTCAATACGTATTTACATACGAAAACTGATGACTGATAAATATAAGACGTACATTTCAAACAGCAAGCAATGCATGTATGAAACGATCAGGGTTGCCACATAAAATGAACCGGAATTAGCCAAAAAGTGGATCTCTAGTAATCTAAAGTTGCGTAAATTTTTTTTATTGCAATATAGCCTAAAATCGTCCAATAACGAAACAAAAATTGATTTTAGTATGAGTAATGGGGGGTGCTCAATAGGATGAGACGGTATTTCACACCGGAACACCGCCTGAAACTGTATAAAGCTCAAGTGAGGCTACACATGGAATACTGTTCTCACCGGTGGGTAGGAGCGCCACAGTACCAACTCTTTCCGTTAGACCGCATTTAAAGTCGGGCAGCTCGAATTGTTGATGATCGGCGTCTTACTGTCCGGCTCGACCCACTTAAACTGCGTAGAGATGTTGCATCTCTGTGCATCTTCTACCGAAATTATCATGGGAAGTGCTCTGAAGAATTGTTCGAATTGATACCTGCTGCTGATTTTCACCATCGTACAACCCGCCATAAACTAAAATTTCATCCCAACCATCTGGACGAGTGGCGGTGAGTGCGTTTTTCAAGACACTTTCTCCCACGCACAACCACTCTTTGGAATCAACTTCCAGCAGCAGTATTTCCGAACCGATACGACAACATAACCTTCAAGAAAAGAGCATATTCCTTTTTAAAAGGCCGGCAGCACACCTGCAATGCCGTAGGTGTTGTGGATGACCATGGGCGGCAGTAGTCACTTACCATCAGGTGAGCCGCATGCTCGTTTGCCTCCTGTGTTGTACAAAAAAAAGGAAATCCTTTCATATAATATCCCGTTAGAAGTGACTCACACACAGTATTTTGAAATTTTTAACACTCGATTTAGGTCACATTAAAATTTTAAACAGGTTTAAAATTTCAATTGAATATCACTAATAGTTGCTGTGATAGACAGATGGAGCGGACAGATAAAGTCGCATCATACTACTGGATCGCAAATATACGCACTGCTGTTAACTGTCACTTATCTTAGTATTTCTTCTCTTAATGGTCTAATTGTTTAACAGCCAGATATTTATATTTTTAATAATAAATTAGAGGAGGAGAAGGCAAGATCAGTAACAGAGACTAGTAGTATCATTACTAGCAGCATAACATGTCATTTAATTTCCACGCGGACCCCTAAAAATCATTATTTCTATATGGATTTGTTATGATAAGCTAATTATCCTGCTTTCATCTTCAGATGCGTGGTCGGCGAATATTAATAACACAAATGGGATTTTCATTCCATTAAAATTCATTCATAACTAAAATTGTGTTCCACAAAGAAATCGACTTCAATTGTTTTAAAACCTATTTTTATTTAAAAATTAAACTACTGAACCGATTTTGATAAATTTTTTATGGAACCAATCTGTAAGTACCTGTATTCTTCCAGATAAAAAATTTAAATCGATGTACAACTGACAGAGTTAAGAGGTAACAAACATAAAAAAAATATATACAAATAAATTTAAACCTTTTAAATATTCTTTATAGCCTAAAATATTTTTTTTTTAAGATTGTCTAAATGGTGACTAGTCACTATTCGTAATTTTCAGCCATCCTGACACTCTTCGAAATAGCCTAAAAGGCACAAAATTATCTAATCTGGCAACACTGTTACGATATGTCATTAAGTAGGGATGCCAGCGAATATTCATCTGATTCTAGATATTAATTAATATTTAATTCGATTAGAATTAAAAATAAATAAATAACATATTATATAAAGGATAACACCATAAAATTGAATAAATTTAAAAAAATAATAATAAATTAATTCCAATTATAATTCTTTGATCTATATAAATAAATAATACACACACACATATACACATATATATAATACATTTGCATAGTGATAAGTAATGCTCCCTTATTCGACGCTTAAAGATGCTTATACTAGGCGATTCCCTTATTTCGGATGGCAGACTATTCCATAATCGAATAGATATAACTGTAAAGTATATAATCATAATAGAAATTAGATTGTAGATACTAGATAAATAAAATCGAGTCTTCGGTAATCGATCGATTATTAGGCAACACTAATGGAATGGCAGGCCCATACATTATTGATCTAGTCTGATCTATTTTAGTACGTTTATTTTACTGTTTGATATCTAGGTACATAGACTGACCTAGGTGTTGTGTTGCAGTATTGATTTATGATATCGGTATTATTTTTTATGTACGATTGATAGCATAGGAACTAAACCTATACAGCCGATGACAGAATTGTTTTTTTTTTCTTTTAAATATTTATTTATTGACATAAGAGTATATGCCCCATGGATTTAGGACACCTACGGTCCTAAACATGAATATATCGTTAATAAAGTGGATTTATACCCCATTGTTAGCAATACACCCTGTAGGGTCGACCTCCACGTAGTTTCCCCTGGAAACTATCATGTTTTATTACAAGTGTATTCATCACTAATCACTAATCACTAAGGGCAACCAGTCCCATTGCTAGTCAACCTCCTCGTGATTCCACCTGGGAACCATCGTATTGACTTCTAGCCTGCCTTTTCATTCTCACCTATCATCCCTCACTGGTGCTCCGCCAGCGTATATCGTTAGCACAGGCGGGGTTACCATACCATTATCAACCATTCATACTTTTGCGCGGTAGTGTACGACTCATTCAATTCTGAACGAGGCATCTTCAGGCAAATGATTGAATCGCTGCTCGGACCGTTTCCCGCCCAAACTGAGAATGACAAATTTTCAACGGTGTTGCCAAAAATAATACTAACCAAATAACCAGTGACTTCCTTCCGCATGAATTGAATTGAATTACATTTATTTGCTGGTATAAGGTATATTTTTATAGGCGTTACATTATAAGAAAATTAGGCCAATCTTATTCTGCCACACTGTACGCGTGCATATATTACGGGGTCCCATCACCTTCCGACTGACGCAGGTGCTCATCGGACATGGCTGCTTCGGTAAGTACCTGCACACGGTAGCCAGACGGGAGGAGGATCCCGGTTGCAAAGAGTGCGGTGCTTGCGACCAAGACACGGCGCAGCACGTTTTGGAGTCCTGTCCTGTGTTTGCGGAAGAGCGTCGTGCCTTGGTCGCGGTAATAAGAGATAACCTCTCGCTGTCTTCAGTTGCCGGACAGATGGTGTCCAGTGAGAGCGCATGGATGGCGGTCCTTGGGATTTGCGAGGCCGCCATGTCAAAGAAGGAAACGGCGGAAAGGGAGCGAGAGATCGACCCCTCCACCCCACAAATCAGACGCCGGCGACATAGGCGAAGAAGGAAACGGCGGAAAGGGAGCGAGAGATCGACCCCTCCGCCCCACAAATCAGACGCCGGCGACATAGGCGAAGAAGGCAGGACCGAGGAGGAGATTCTACTTCACCCATTCAGTCAGATCAGGGGCGGCAGCTGCGAGGGCAGCTGTCACCCCATCACCAACACAGCCCGGAGGAGGCACGCGCGTGCTCCCGCGCGCCCCTCACTGAGGATACACCTACGGGTCACTTAGTGAAGGGGTCCGTCAGTGAGACGGACCAATGCGTTCGGGACGGGACGATTGCTCGCGCACACCCACGTCTCGAAGAAAGCGCTGAAAAGGAGCACCGGGGGGTTTTAGCCGGTAAGAGTCCGGCAGTACCCGCATATCTCCTCCGAGGTATGCGGGTCTGCATGAAGCACTTCCCTTCGACAAAAAAAAGGCGTGCATGTATTAAAACTTAATTAGACAAAAAATTGAAATACGAGTAATTTCATCATTTTGCTATTTGATAGTTATTTATCGCCTCCAGGTATTAATATGACGGAGAGAAATAAAACACAGCTGGATCGGATCACTTCTATTTGTCGACAAAAACAGTTAACCGCCAAATATGATTATTATAAAAATCTCGGTGTACCCACATACATCACAATCATAATACCCGGTTACTCTTTATTATGTACAATTTAATTTAATTAAAGGTAATTTTACATTAACATGGGTATTTTTTTATTGGATAATAATAAATTTGTAACCCCACCTGCGCTAACTGTATATACAGGCGGAGTACCAGTGAGAGACGTTGGATGAGAATGAAAAGGCAGGTCAGTTAGTCCATCGTGACAAATTCAACGATGGTTTCCAGGGGAAACCGCGTGGAGGTCGACCTAAGAGGCTTGGCAGAGAAGACTTTGTACAAAAGTCGATTGCTTGGGTACCTCTGTTCCATTCGTGTTTCGACCGTGAAGCAGTTGTTTGCATGGCTGTGTTTCGGTTTGAAGGGTGGGATATGGCGTGAATTTACTGGGTACAGGGGAATAACACCTGAGTCCTCAGGAATGGCAACGCATGGGTGGTATCATGGGCGAACCAGTATACTCTGATATTTATATACATTCACTGATGCCCAGCCAATGTATACCGATAGCACAGGCGGGGTTAACATTTCATCTTCACCCATAAAAAAAAACTTAACATTCTCAATTGAACGAGAATACAATCCACGTGTGGCCATTTATTATACCTTGCTCCTGACACATAAATTTTGAAGAAGGAAGGCATTCGAAGGTCACAAACTCCCGTTTTCGTGTTGGTGATGTCACTAAGAGAAATAAACATGGCCTTGTGTCGAAATAGTATTACGTCACAGCTTTATTTTTGTCGATTTAATGTCTTCAACGCGTAATCCGACCAAAATGAGTAGTTTGTCTGTGTTGCCAGACTGCAATGCTATTGAAATTACTGTAATAAATATTAAATCATATACAAATAGACTTGTTTACAAGAATTTTTATATTGTCTTTTTTTTTATTTATTGTAGGATTCGGAAAGTTGTTATCTGTTAAGATAGGTTGATAGATAATTTATTTGCATTACTTACAGCACAAAAACAACAAAGCACAGTGAAAAAAGATAAATGTACAAAAAGTAAAACAAAATGCATAAAATTAGTAAAAAATTTTCCTTTCATGTGTATGGCACAGTAACACTAAATGGTCACAACTCAGCTTATTTGCTTTGCCCTAAAAAGAGCAAAACGAATTAAAATGATGA